TTCTATTTTGCGGGAGTCCCGTGAATCATTTTATTCTCCCGCATCCCGCACACACACGAGTGTCTTCCCGCCCGCAGCAGCACTCGCCCATCTTGTCCCGCACTGCTACATTCTTTTTACAATCTCTAGATTATAAAACATTGCATTCTGTCAACGCTCCCGATAAATATTTGTTATTAAAGCATCAACATTCACATAACACTGTTATTTTTAACTAAAGCTAGCGGCTGCTGCGTGCATGATTTGGCATGGCAGGATGTCAGCAAAGAGCGCTGCATTTATAATCTCTAAAAGACATCTCAGTTCATCGCAATCTCACAAATCTTTGTTATAACACAATAAATATATGCATAATGAATCTTTCATAATGTCTACAATCCATGTGTTATAATGAGAGGATTCGTGAGCATGTCAATTTCAGCACTGCATTGCTCAACGCAGCGAACACGTGTTATAGACTAAACAGAAAGTCTGCATACGCTTGCACCTGTTAATCGTTTATATTTTATATTAGTTCATGTTGCTTTTGTGCAATAGATGAATAACAATTTATTTGTTTTAGATATTTTAGGTTTAGATATTTCTATTTTGCGGGAGTCCCGTGAATCATTTTATTCTCCCGCATCCCGCACACACACGAGTGTCTTCCCGCCCGCAGCAGCACTCGCCCATCTTGTCCCGCACTGCTACATTCTTTTTACAATCTCTAGATTATAAAACATTGCATTCTGTCAGCAATGTAACGCGGCAGTAACGTATAGAGACCTCGGCTTGTAACTATACTCTAATTACTATTTTGAAAATGATAACGCGGTAAATTACTCCGTTACTAAAAAAGTAATCAAATTACAGTAACACGTTACTAAGTAATACATTACTGCCCAACACTGGTCATGACTGATTCGTGAAACTGTAGTAACAAGGTCGCAACTCTGTCATTTGAACCACATTGGTTTAACAATACAGAACTGTTGCTAATGACTTCATACAGGAGGTGGAGTAGTAACTATATACTGTAAACTATATACTGTATATAGAATAGTATTTTGATCCTCTCAATTTTCCACATTGAAATATTTGTGACAGGAAATCTAATTTATTTATCATATTCATCCAATGATGGAGTGCTATAAACAGTAAAATATCAAGCCATATGTCAATTTAACTAATAAAAGACAAAGTCATTGGGAGTCATGGCAAATAAGTTTACCATCAAGAACAATGGAGGAAGCACTATCTGTCTGTGTGTAGCTTTGTCTCACAGCATGCATTAAATTACAAATAAGTTAAAGTGACCACTTGAAGAGCACCACTTAGTAAAGTATTCTCTTTGCTTGTGAAAAATAATTGTGAACGTTTACCTTTGTGAGAAATTTCCAACATCTCTAACCGGCCTAGCAGTGAATCGAAGATATTACATTTAACCAATTTCTAGTAATTATTACAAAGTACTCTACTTTAAATACATCGCTGACAGCTAAAATGATTAGCAAGGTGAAAATTATTCAATAATATTAATTTGTGATATTTAAATGTATTAAAGCAGTAATATTATTACTTTGAGATGTGCTCTTATTATGGGTTAATGCTTTTTTGAAGTGTTACAATTGCTCCTAGCTACAGTTATAATCACTCACATTTCAGGGGTGATTATCACACTAGTCTTCTACTAAATTCCAAATTATAATCTAATCTGTTTATAACTGCACCTACTTTTGGCACATACTGTATAAATGGTTCTTATACCAAAAGATGGTATTTGTACTCTGAGATTTATAAAAGAAAATGCTACAATTGTCCCTGGTCTTTTTACTGTATTATAGGAACAGAATCCAACAGCAGAGGAGGACACTTTTGTATTCTCAGTCAGTTCGCGTATTCTGTCATGGTAGTTTTTTGGTGATAATGTAACACGACACATTATTGATGTGCACAAAGCGTGAGAAAATGTGACAGTGGCTTCTTCATTTTTTTCCTCCTGTCATCTGTCAGAAAAAGGTCTGTTGAATATTCATTGAGACTGAAATAACTGTGGTGGATATTTCACTCTGTTCTTTCAGTTCAAGGGATGTTTATTGCATATTCAGAGATGTTGTCACTGTTCTTGTATGAATTCAGTTCTTTTACGATCTGTTTTAATGACAACATCCTAGTATTTCACTTTGGGATGTTCAATGCCACAACATATATTTTTACCCCTAGAGCGTGGAGTCTACTTTGTGTATACCTATCAAAATTCAATTGGGAATTGTTTGCTGTTCTCGGTTTGTGTCGCCACTCTAAACTACCAGAAGCAACAAAGCTTTATGCTAAGACAGGTCTGTCCTAACAACAACATGCGCACCCTCAGGGAAAATAACAAAGACTTTCTCAAAAATATGAACATACCTACAAAGAGGCCTTTAGATCTAGACGAAAAAATACTTTCACCAGCAGCCCTTAACAGTTAAACTTTTCATGTTTATTTTTCCAAGAATACATTCTTCAACTTCCCTGTTGCAAATTAGCTTGTGTAGGCACAAACAGTGTCAGAACAGATGTGTAACATTGAGTTTATAAGCGGAGAAGAAACAAGAAGTTCTTTAGAGTTTTGTAAACTCGAAATAGCTGGACATCTACTGTATATAATAGCTAGTTATAATATAATCTATCTGTCAGAACTTCAGAAGCATTCTAAAACTTAATCTGATCAACTTTTTGGAGTACTCTAGTGTAGTGATAGCTTCAGAGCTATCAGGATTGAACTACAAACCTGAAAACCTTAATTTACTCTAAATTTGATCCGAGCCCCTCTACGATGACTGTGAATTGATGTCTGTGCCACATTACTCTTCATCCAGGAGTTTGACAAAGCCAGTCAATTTTATTACTGTATAAAGGTCAACCAATTAGAAGTATAAAGCAAATGGCAACAATTCACCCAATTCTTATTCCTCTGATGGTGAAATGATCTGTGGATATTAAATTTGAATTTAAACAACTTCTTTATGCCCTCTCTAGCATACGTTGATGTGTTGCTGGATATGATGTTTGTGCCTTAAGCAACAAATCTGTTGCACATCTCTGTAGCTATTTTTGTGGTTTGACACAGCATAATGTACTTGTTAGTTTAATACAATGGCCTGTCACTAAAACCTGTCATTTTGTTGGTCAGCATTGTTCTAAGCAGGCTGAAGAAGATTTCGGGAGGTTGAGAAGTCGCTGTTTTTCTGACAGCTGTCACTCAACATAGACCACCATTCATATTCCCTAAAGGGATTCACATGTCAATTGGTTCTTCACCTGCACCT